TCTTGATTGGGCTGTCATCACAATAGGTAGGTATGAGTAGATGCGATAAGCAACAATAAACTACAGAAGAACAGTAAAAAAAACTGATCTCTTCCTTTAAGTATTGTAGTAATATTGAAGCTTACATTTTAAAACTTCACTTAATTTAAGGACAATTTGATGTACGTAGGTCCATACTTTCCATACAAACGATTATTTTTATTTCATGGGTGACTTTCGCTGGATTTCGCAATTAATTTCAATTATTCTCAAATTAATTAGCAAGTTATAAAAATTGTTATTGTACAAAAAGTAATATGCTGGTACTTAATTTAAAGACAGTTTAATGTATGGGTCCTGGATCCTGCTCAGAATATTTTAATTCGCTCACAAAGGGGCCTGATTCCAAAATAGATTGAGCTACGGCCTCTAAAGTAGAGTTGAAAAGTGTGACACTCTGACGTTGCATTTATACATACATATATATATATATATATATATATATATATATATATATATATATATATATATGTGTGTAATATGCTGGTAATTAATTTAAAGACAGTTTAATGTATGGGTCCTGGATCCTGCCCAGAATGAAAACTTGACTTTCAGGATTGCGGTTCCGGATCTGGCCAGGAATATTTTTAATTTGCTCACGGAGTCGGCCTGATTCCAAAATGGTATGATATGCTAGGCTACGGCCTCTAGGAGTAAAGTTCAAAAAGCGTGACACAGTGACACACTGACATCGGCATTTATATAGATTTATAATTTATTTTACTGTTTACAATTTACAAAAAAAAATAATAATTGCTCAGTTTATAGTTACCCAATATGTGGTTATGATTTGCGGCCTTCATCAGGTGTTTGTTGATCCTTGTTACCTGCAGGGAATTTTCGAACAGAGCCCTTAATTTAATCCATGGTGTCGGGGGAGAGTATTGTCTCCGTTTCGCAGGGGATATCTCTTTTAGTTGTTATTTAGAATTGCTCAAATATCACTCGCCATCGCCTCTAGCTAGCCAGCAGATTGAAATAAAAATAATTATATCACCATATTCACGAACCAACGATCCACGAGGCTATTGTAGAATATAGTGGGTTAAAGAAAAAAGGCTCTGTGTACTGCAAAAGTAGTTCTTTATGTACCATTTCTCCTTGTGATTTTTTCCGCAATTTCCATGTCTATTGTAGCGCTTTATAAATTTTGTCTTTTTGTTATTTCTCCCAAACCTTGTTCCGCCATCCAGTTACTCAAGCTCACTAAGATCGTTAAGCGTTGTTTTCCTCTGTCCCTATTGCTTTCAATCTGTCCTGTGAGCATCAGATTTTCCAAACCCTCTTTCCTGCGTGTTGGGGGATTCTCTCCTTTTTACACAAATGGACTCACCCTGGGTATACATATACTACTGCTAGTGAATACCAGAGAAAGAACGAACGCAGCGAGCAAGAGTCACAGTGATCAAGAACGTAGACTCAGTAAGAAGTCATACAGCGATACGTCGATACCGCAGACTGTATATATATTTTACTACTAACCCGCATTCTTGGAACTACTAACCTTCATTACCAGTTTGTATTATTACGTTAATACATTTTTTTTCCTATATTCATTCTTGGCGTTTGTTATTTATTGGTACCAGATTTCATCCCGGAATCCACAACAATGTGCACTAGACATTTCAATTGTGTTTTCCTGATGTTAAGTATAAGTTTTCTTTCTGCTTCCATTTTCGCTAAAACTTCGTCATTGTTCACACACTCCAATCGATCCTTCTGTAGAACCATATGTCTTTTGCTTCAAGTCCCTTCTTCAGTTTTGAGGAGTTTTCCCAGCATTCACTGTCATATCGCAGGACAGATAACGTGTAACAATTCAGTACTGTTTCCTTGGTTTCTAAAGATATTTACGTGCACAGTAGATCATGTTTAATAAATTAACTTTTCTTTTATATAGTGGAAAGAAAAACGCCATCTAATATTTGCCTGTGAAACTTTCTAACATTATTCAACGAATTATTCAAACTCGCTCTCCACTGTTGTTCATGATGACGGTCGTCTTCGAGTATAGAATCCAGAGGTTAGCAGTGAATATTTCGAAGACAGTAGGGAAGCGTATTTCAGGTTGGCAGTGGATATCCCGGTAAAAGTAGCAGAGCGTAGTTCTTCCTTCTGTTCCTCTTCGCCTGACAATCTGGCACTGGACATTCGGATAGAGTAAACAAAATGGCCGTCCTTATACACGACGGATTGAATATTCTACGTCTTCTGATTGGTTAACCTTCTATTGGTGGACTATAAAGTGAGTCAAGTCATTTGGGCTAGCTCACTAGTAAACATACCCCAAAAAACTGCAATATCCACAACTTTCTTATACTATTCCTTGTGACCATTAGAAGTTTTCATCCTTAGCTAAGACTATCGACCCGCCGTCCCATTCACACAATCTGCCCAGTTAAATGACTCGCTGTCTTCCTCTAATTTACCTTCAGTATGCCCCGTGTGCGTTAAATTTTCCTAGCCCTCTGACCTCATTGTGATCGCAAGGAATTTCAGCTGTCTTTTCCTGATTCTGAGTAGAAGTGTTCTTTCTGTTGCCATTTTATTTAAGACTTCCTTCTGGCTTACTCACTCCGTCCATGGAATTCTCAGTATCCTACTGTAGAAACACATTTCTGCTGCCTCTAGTTTTCCCCTCATCTGTAGAGAAAATATCTGTCCTGTGAGTATCAGATTTTCTGTTCACTGCCATATAAGAGGATGGATAACGCATCCAACATTCTTTTTCTTTTATTTCTAACGAATTGTTTTTTCTGTTTCTGGACACATTGCGTCAGTTTTGAATGCTTCTTTCAAAACAGTTCCTACCTCCTGCACCTGCTTGATGGTAACATCTTCAAATTTTAACTCGCATCTTGAGCTCTTTTTCTTGTTGATGAGCATACTTTCTGTCTTCTTACAGTTGAAGGTTAGTCCTTTATTCTTGCTTTCTTCTAACACTCTGTCTACGAGTGTAGTTTTCTTTCCGAGTTAGCCATCAACATCATTTGTGTTTGTAATATTGTTAAGATTTCACATGCCAATAATGAACCGTGGTAGGGTCTCCAGTTTCCTTGGGATAGCATCTCTGTAGAGGATAAATAAATCTGGTGAGAAGATGCGCCCTTGTCTCACGCCCTTTTTCCAAATTTCTGTAGCGACTCAATTCATTTTCTATCGGTTTGAGGGCGGTTGCTGCCAGCATAAGTAAATTGGTTTAATACAAAATCCGGACATGTGCAGATAATCTGAAAAAAAGAAAAGAAAAGCGCATTAATTATTTAGAATAATCCGGTGTTTAAAGAGAGTTTAACATTCATATTCAATTTTGGTGAAATGAAGAAGAAATTTTCGCCTACAGTCTAATATATATATATATATATATATATATATATATATACACCACACATATATACACGCAAACAGATACACATACTAATATATAGTGGATCGGAATGAGGAAATGAAACGCAGAGTTCGAATTCCAGTGGTTACATTCGCTTACGCACAAATACCATTGGGAAGGATACGAAACCATCTCCCACCGGCTACGGGTTAAATAGTAGGATATTATTATTACATCTTAACAAAGTTTAGATTAATTGTATTAAAGAGTATAAGAAAGAGAGGGACTTCGAGAGTTAAAGACAATCAGAAAATCAAAGGCAGAAGAAAAGAAAGAATTGATACACTGGAACGGATTCAGAGAAGCACAAAAGATAGATAGATAGGAAAAGCACACGCATGCGCATATATATATATATATATATATATATATTATTCTAATAGTAGTAAATCGGTTTGGTAAAAAAAATCGAATAGTACAACTTGCAAGTATATCAAAACAAATTGGTACCCCAGGAAAAATTGGAACAAAAGAAAGAACTAGAAACATTGAAACAAGGCGAAACAAATCGTCCAGTGTCTTAAGATTTTAGTCCAAAGAAAAAAACCTAAGCGAGTAATAAAGCTAAAACGTAGAGTGATCAATACGCTAAAATTTCTACCTAGGTTGTTCCGAGCTCGTTAGGATTTATTTTATATATATATATATATATATATATATATATATATATATATGTGTGTGTGTGTGTGTGTGTGTGTGTGTGTGTGTGTGTGTGCGTGCGTGTATGTATATATGTATATTTAGGCAGCATATCTTCCTTCAAGCATGTTTAGTTGAATAATCTAGAAATATTAATTTATTTTTATTTTAATCCAATCAAATTCACGAATCAATTTCTTAGTGCTGTTAGAAAATGGTGTAAGAAAGACACCGTAGTTTTGGTTATTTCTTTTATTTTCCAAAGTACTTTCAGTATCACCCAAGATCATCTTCAGTTGGGAATTGCTTAGACAAAAATGAATGTAATTGATAGTTGTGTGTATTTTTTTTTTTATAAATGCGTATCAAGCACGCCCCGTTATAGTCAATTTTGTGTTAAGAATTTGTAAGGGAGGTAACACAGTTTACATTTTCCCTCATCAATGTTTTAAAAATACTCAACCTGCAATTTAAAAGAAATTTTTTTTTTATAATTTGACCTACCCAAAATATTGCTTTTATAGACTTTTTAAAACATTGTTACTATACTCATAATCAATTTTATTTAGTGTTGGTTTAATTTTTTTTATACAGAGTGCTTCGAGAATTTGCAATTTTTGTTTTTTTCTTTTCATGGTTGAGTATACTTGGATTGTCAATTAATATTTTTCTAAAACATGAAAGTGGACAGGATTGTTCTTTTAAATGTTCTGTAATAGAGCTTGAAACGGACATATGTAAGGTAAGCCTTCTTAGTGATGTCGTCCTCGTGAAACCAATATTTGCGTTTTTGTCATTCTCCCAATTGATATAAAAATTGATATACAAAGTTAGTCTTTTTGTAAAATATTAGTTGACGGAGAAGAGTTATTGTGGATGATTAAGATGGTTGTATTAAATTTAGTATAGAATATAATTAGTTTTATTTTTTCACTGGGAGCAGTGGGAGATAGATAGATAGATAGATAGATAGATAGATAGATAGATAGATAGATAGATAATGAATAGAATGAGAAAGAAAGAAAGAAAGAAAGAAAGAAAGAAAGAAAGAAAGAAAAAAGTGGGAGAATCAGTAAGTAACACTCACGAGATCGATATATATTTACAGACTGAGATAGATAGATAGATAGATAGATAGATAGATAGATAATGAACAGAATGAGATAGATAGATAGATAGATAGATAGATAGATAGATAGATAGATAATGAATAGAATGAGAAAGAAAGAAAGTGGGAGAATCAGTACGTAACACTCACTAGATCGATATATATATATATTTATATATATATATATATATATATATATATATATATATATATATATAGATAGATAGATAGATAGATAGATAGATACTGAACAGACTGAGATAGATAGATAGATAGATAGATAGATAGATAGATAGATAATGAACAGACTGAGATAGATAGATGAATAGATAGATAGATAGACTGAGATAGATAATGAACAGACTGAGATAGATAGATAATGAACAGACTGAGATACATAATGAGATAGATAGATAGATGAATAGATAGATAGATAATGAACAGAATGAGATAGATAGATAGATAGATAGATAGATAGATAATGATAGATGAGATAGATAGATAATGAACAGATGAGATAGATAGATAATGAACAGAATGAGATAGATAGATAGATAGATAGATAGATAATGAACAGACTGAGATAGATAGATAGATAGATAGATAGATAGATAGATAGATAGATAGATAATGAATAGATAGACATTGGTAACCGAATGCCCAAATTACCAGATGTTTAAATTGTCTCTATGTCCATTGCTTGAATGGTAACAAATGAAAAGCGGCGTATTTTTGTGAGTGTCAGAGTATTTACCAGCGACAAAGTGCATATTTACCGAGTGTGTGTAGGTGCGGCTGTGCGTGTGTATCTAGGGTGGACAGGAGGTCGACTGCACGTTCCAGGACCGACGATGCTCGGTGACAACAACAGAAAAACACATATTTAATAGGTTTTTCTCCTCTTCAGTAATCAACTCCAGCGTAAGCCACTTCGAAATTCGTTATTAGAATCGAAACCTTTGTGTACAAAGACTCGCCTACATACAAGTAGCTCGACCTATTTGGATCTCACCCACCCGCCCCCCTCTTAGCTTGCCCAGTTCATTTTAGGTTTACTTTGTTTACTTTTTGTTATTTTCACATCTCGGGTTATTCATATTTGCCAAGCAGGGTATGTATCACCGAGTGTGCAATATTGTTATATTCAGTCAGTTCAGGATCCATATAATATTCTATCTATCTATCTATCTATCTATCTATGTATGAAAAAAATATAGTTTTAACGTGTGCTATATTAATGGGGTAAAGTGCTCAGTATCAGATATAGATTTTATGTAAATATAAAAGTGAACATTGAAGTCAACACTCAGAGGCGACAGGCTGTTTCATGCTAGACGCAATCGTCAGGCCACATGTGTTGGGTTTTTTCTCGACTATTTATATATACGCTTATATGTATATTGTATATATAAATACTCGAGAAGTGACCTAACACATGTGGCCTGACGATTACGTCTAGCATAAAACATTTTGTCGACTCTGAGTTTTAACTTCAATGATCACATTTATATTCATATATATATATATATATATATATATAACGCATATTTTCTATGAAATTTCTCGGACATGCCGGCGAGTAAATGTAATTAATACTGTTAATTTTTCTCTTTTAAAAAAAAGCATTTACTTAAATAAATAGACTCTAATAATAACGTATAAACAGAAAATATATTAATAATTGTCGGACTTGATCCAGTGCATTATATATATATATATATATATATATATATATATATATATATATATATAATATTATCGAAAATGAAAGTGAAAACGGAAAATCTATAAGTGATGCGTTTCGCTGACAGCGTCTTCTTCCTCAGGTTAAGAATGAGTAAGCCAGAGAGAGCCGATGCTCTCTGCGAAACGTGTCGCTTTTAGATTTTCTACTTTCTCTCATTATATATATATGTGTGCGTGTGTGTGTGTGTTTAATAAATAGAAACAGAACATTTGCACAAATGTGAGTATCCATTAAAATAACGTTTAAACCAATAAATTAAAAATACATCGGATTTAATCCATTCCTAAAAAAATATATATATATATATATATATATATATATATATATATATATATAGGGGGTGATGGGTAAATTCTTACGATTTTATATTTTCAATTTCGCGCATGCGCGTTGCTTGTTTTAGATTTTGTCGCCTGCACAGTATAGTCGGGTCAGCTGGGCACTGTCTATGAGAGAAAGAGTACCATGACGCAATTCACTCCGCCCGAAATTTGGAAACGTTATGCTGCACTGCTTGGTATTCGTACCGGAAGCTCCAATACGAACATTTCAAAGTGTTTGGGTTTCAATCTGAGGACAGTGCAGAGGATTCGGTGGGAGTTGGATGAATCTAATGGTGATTACGAAGGTATGGCAGCTCAGAAAACTCACTCTAATCGTTCTGATAAGAAAAAAAAACTCCCGAATTTGTTCGTGGGGTGCTCTGACTCAACATGGAAGCCTACATCAAAGGCAGAGATTTCAACAAGTCTGTTTCGAGCCTGGCAACGAACTGCGATTTGACTGGGATGTTTCGACTTGTTCTTAATATTTAGTACTTCTCAGTTATTCTTGACGTCACTGGCCCATCGTCAGTCAATGCCCTAGCAGATTAACGCGTTGGTTCGTAATTTTGGTGATATAATAACTGTGTGTTCAATTCACGGGCCAGGTTACTCGCTCCGTTTTCTTCCTTTCATGTCCTTCGTTCTTTCTCTCCTCCGCCTTCTGCCTAACCTCTCTTTCTTTCTTTCTTTTTAAAATTATGCTTCTTCTATTCTACTCTCACTACTTCTCTTCTCCTACTCTTTCTCCCCCTCCATTCTTCTTTTCCATTTCCTTCTCACAAATATCCTCCTAACTTGTCTTTTTCCCTCTGTTCTTTGTCGAATTTTTTTTTGTTTTCTTTACATTTTTTTAATTAAAAAAATACATATTTTTCTTCTTACATTTTTTTTTTTTACTTTAATCAGATCGTGTTCTTTGCCTCCTTCAGAGAAATCTTTCTCATTTAATTTTCTCGTGGGAGCCGCGGGAATTGGTTGAAAGCAGACGAGACCACCGGCCGTTAATATGGAAGCATCCAAATGATTTCGCCCCGTACGCACATTACCTTAGATAATTTGCATAACGTTACATT